CTGTTAGGTGTTTGCAATCTGCTGCAGGCAGATGCTTAGTTAGCCCTGGTTCTGCCAGTAAGCCACCACGAAGAGCTACCCTGTCTCCAAAAGTCTACCCGTGACTGGGCGGCCAGCTCTGCAGGAAAAGGCTGCATGAAAAACAAGGAGGTCTAGGTATTATAAATAAAATCACCTTAATAAAATACTTAGCAAGATCCCTGGCCCCAAACCTTAGCTCTCATCAATATCAATATCTATCATTCTTAATACTCTTATGATTGCAGTAAGACCTCAATTAGACTCTAGCAACTAGAAGATGCTGTTTCGAAGCCCACATTGGTGACGTGTGAGGAGCAAGTCCAGAGATGACAAGTATTATGTCAGATTTTTTTGGTAAAGGTACAAGGTCACATTCCAATGGCACTGGTCTGAAGACCCTGCATTCAAGGGCCCGCTGTTACTTCTCAGCCGCGTGACCTTGGCCCGGCACTTCACCTCTCCGTGCCTCAGTTTCCTCATCTGTAAAGCGAGGCGTTCCTCGCAGCGGACCCGCCAGGAGGTGCTCTTTGCTGCTCTAGGTGGACAGGGGGACGAGGCGAGGCCCATTTTCCAAGCCCCCCGCGGCTCCGGGGCAGGCGGGCCGGATGAATGGCCGGCCCCTAGGCCCACCCAGCTTCCCCGCGTGCAGGGCAGGAGCGGGACCCTGGAAGTGCCTGCAGTGGGTCCCTGCCACCAAGGGTGCCGAGTGCCCGAAGGGTCCACTCCCGCCACCCTCAAGCAAGGAAGACGCGTTCGGCGCGCGGCCCCGCAGCCCCGCAGCCCGGGCGTAGGGAAGCGGCTCCGCGGAGCCGACCAGGGTCCGGCGAGCGGGGCGGCGAGTGCAGGAGGGCTCGAGGGCCCGCAGCACGGGCCCCGGGGCCCCGCCGTGCAGCGGAGGTAGAGGAGGGAGGGAGAAGGAAAGGAGCACGAAGCCCCCGCGGGCAGAGCCGCGCGCCCCCCGCGGGCCGGGCTGAGGCGCTCACTCACCTGAGGTGCGGGCAACCCCTGTCAG